ATCAAACTTGGTCCCTCTGAACAGACTTTTTTTCATTCATGAGGAAAGGCAAATCCCTGGTTGACTATGCTTTAGCCTTTAATATTCTTGAATTAGCTCTTCTATTTTCTGGAGCAAAAAGATCCTGTTTTGGGGCCAACCCTGTTGCCCAGTGGTTAAAGTTCCACATGCTCTGCTTCAGCAGCCCAGGTTCGCTGGATCGGATCCCCGGCATGGACCTACACCACTCACTGGCCATGCTGTGGAGGCATCCCATGTACAAAAAATGGAGGTGGATTGGCACAGCTGTTAGCTCAGGGCAAATCTTCCTCACCAAAAAAAAAAAAAAAAAAAAAAATCCCTCTTTAACTTTTCTCAGAGACGAAAGTAATCCAGCAATTAATCATTTCTATTATGTTCAAACTTGCTTCAAAATTTCAGTTCCTCCTAAGATCCTATCTATGCACACTCAGTTTAATTAGGTGAAAAAATATCTAATGTGTACTATTGAATGGGTGCCTTGCTACATGAGCAGTAGGGGGAGAAAATACTGCTTTTCCAATCTTTAAGCAATTATATTGGCTGGCTTACTAAAAACAGATCCACTGAACATTTTTATGTGACCCAATACAACAAATGTTTATTGAGAACATTTTATGAGGCATGTGCTATGCTAAATGATGGGAAAACAAGGCTAAGATGAAATCCCTGACTTCAAGGAGATTCCATTTTACAGAGGACACAGATAGGGAAAGAGGTAATTTCAGTGTAATAAGTGCTATCAGAGAAGCATATATAGGGTCTTATGAGATTATACAAGACAGACATTGGGACTATGGTCAAATGTTTAATCATTCTTTTGCCCAGTGTTAAACATCTATAAAACAGACTAAAATGGTGTCTTTCCCATGGCTTTTTTAAAAAAACAGATGCTTTTTCCCTACACAAAAAGGATCTTTAAATTGTTCTACTCTGGACATTAGGCATCTATGACACGCCATTTTCTGTGAAGCACATTGTTGCATTTTTGTCTAACACATTATTTTCCAAATGACTATTTATCATCTGTTCTATGTTTGTCTAATGAACAAAAAGTGTGAGGCGACAAAATAAACCTTGCAAAACAATGAAAAGGCAACCATGCATCATCGATTTAGCAGAGGTAAAAAAGGAACAAATAAAAAGAGCATAGAGGCTCAGTTGCTTCTGAATACCAGGAAAAGGCAACTGTGTTTCTCAACAAGTTAATAGCACCAACTGTGCCAACTAGTTGGAACCACTGAGGAAAAATTTTATCAAGCCAGCCAGATTTTAATACAAAAAAACCCCACAGCTGTATTTAGGTGCTCCAACAGTATTTAGTCAATCAAAAAGCTAACAAAGCAGGCGTAATAAGATTTCACATGTCCACATACACTAATTTCTCCTACCACTACCACTAATTCAACCAAGGGAAATATATTAATATCTAAAACTACTCATATATCTATGGTATTTTGCATGGCCTCTTAGGCTGCCATAAAAAATACCACAGACTAGGTGGCTTAAACATAAATTTATCTGTCACATTTCTGGAGGCTAGGGAGTCCAAGATCAAGATGCCAGCAAGGAAAATTCCATTCTGAGGCCTTTTCTCTTGTCTTGTAAACAGTCATCATCTTACTGTGTGCTCACATGGCCTCTTCTTTGTGAATTAGGATGGGGGGCAAGCTGTCTGGTATCTCTTCTTATAAGGACACTAATCCTAACAGATCAGGGCCCTACCCTTATAACCTCATTTAACCTTACTTATTTCCTCAGAGGCCCATCTCCAAATATAGCCATGTTGGAGGTTAGGGCTTCAACATATGAATTTGGGCGGGGGGGGGGGGGGAGGGGGGAGGGGCAGGGACACAAACATTTAATCCATAACAACTCATAAAAGAAGAGAAAGGTGATGGGAAGTGACAAATGCAAACCATCATTTGAAAACAATATAAAACTACAGGTTAAAAAGTTAGTTCCTGGATATACAGCTTCTAAAAGCAGTGTCAACTACTGTAGCATTTCTAGAGATGGCACTGCCTTAGGCATACCGTCCTGATTGTCAGAACAAATAGAGTGTCCTGGGAAACCAGCATATCACACATGATAGGAAGTAATGTAGTGGTCGGATTAGGGCTCAAAAAAAGGCAGTGGATGCAAAGAAGGTGCTAGGAGATGAATACTATTCTCCAAGAGAAAGTATTTAAAAATCTGAGCAATAGTAACTTTCTAAAGTTATATTTGAATTACAATAATATGTTGCTGACTTGCTGAAAGTAGCTTTGGAAGCACATTTAAATGTATTTTAAGATGAGCTATGGGGCTGTGGGGTGTGTGTGTGTGTATTTCCCCAGTCACATCCTGAACATTTTAACTTCTTTGTGTCTAGGCCTCCATATCCATTATTCAGAATGGCACTGACAAACATTTTTCTATAACTTATCACACTGAGACAGAGTAACGTATAATACATTAATAAAGAATGATTTTTGGGGCTGGCCTGGTGGCACAGCAGTTAAGTTCGCACATTCTGCTTCAATGGCCCACGGTTTGCAGGTTTGGATGCCGGATGTGAACCTACTCATGGCGTGTCCAACCATGCTGTGACAGGCATCCCACATATAAAGTAGAGGAAGATGGGGACAGATGTTAGTTCAGGGCCAGTCTTCCTCAGCAAAAAGAGGAGGATCGGCAGTGGATGTAAACTCAGGGCTAATCTTCCTCAAAAAATGAATTAATTAAAAAATAAAGAAAGAAAGAATGATTTTTTTTTTAATTTGGGAAAAAGAGACTCTAACACAAACACAAATACAGCTTATACATTTAAACAATGCACTTAGCATCACTAATCACCAGATTCCTCAATTGCAAAACAAGGATGTTAAACTAAAATCTGATCTCTGAGGTTCCTTTGAACTTTAAAACTCTGTTTTTTATGTGATCAAACTTACAGGTGTAAAAAGACTTCAAGGAGTCTTTATTCTTAGATAAAACTTTAAACTTATTTTCCTATTATTCTAACTTAAAAAATACCATTTTACTTTTGCATACATTTTAGGCTTTCTAAGCAATTTCTCATTTTATATTTTTTTCTCACTATACCATTTGAGAAGGATTTCAGCCTCCATTTTTCAAACAAGGTAACTGAGTCCAGAAAGGTGAAATGACTTCTGCAAAGTTATATCACTAGCAAATGGCAGAGACTCAATTCATCCTTTTGACTCTAAAACCAATATCCTTTCTTTTTTTTGTGGACAATTAGCCCTGAGCTAACACCTGCCGCCAATCCTCCTCTTTTTGCTGAGGAAGACTGGCCCTGAGCTAACATCTGTGCCCATCTTTCTCTACTTTATATGTGGGACGCCTACCACAGCATGGATTGCCAACCGGTGCCATGTCCGCACCCGGGATCCAAACTGGCGAACCCCAGGCCACAGAAGTGGAACATGCGCACTTAAGAGCTGAGCCAATGGGCTGGCCCCCAGTATCCTTTCTATTCTACCTGCCTAATAGTAAATTCTACTCTTCAGTCCAAATAAATACCATTTTTGAATGGAAAATGAAAAATTATTCTTCAGTCAACCACATTATTCCATAAGCATTTATTGAATACTTATACAACTGTGCTGGGCTTTGAGGTTATATTAATTAAAACAGAGTCCCTGTATGATCCCTCTCTACAAAGCAAATATAAATAGACATGTTTTTAAAAACTGAAGTTTCTACCAGTTTATTCTGTTTTCCATTCTCTTATCCACCTTACTAATTTTTAGTCTTCCTAATTTCCATCCCTTCCATATGCCATTAGATGAAAGATGCCTTCTTTGACTTAGAGTTTACACACAAGTGTACATTGACTTAAAGATGTGGCAAGAGGTAAATATAAAAAAGGGAAGAAGTAGTGTTATACTTTTATTTTGGCTTCTTGGCTCTTATACATGGGAACTAGATGCTTTGCGCTAACCTTTTAGGCTAACATAAAATGATGGAGGGTAAAAATAAAGTCTTGGTTGTGTTGGTAGATGTCCAAATAAGAGTTCTAATGATGGTAGACACGATAGAAGTTGAAACAGAGCAATTTCACAAATAAGAATAATTCACTAAAGGAGATTCTATAACATTGTACTGTCTTGACGTGATAGAAAGATCACCTAATCTTTGCATGTTGGACCACTCAGAGTTGAACATGCAGTCTACCAGTACACTTACTGTTATATATATATATATATATATGTATGTATATATATATATATATATATATATATATATATATATATATATACTGTTATTTCTGCTGTTTGAGCTACCAGTAGCTGAGAAAGACTGAGAAAGATAGATCCTAAATGACATTTCTCTTCATTATTAATAGAGAAACGAAAATATCAGAACTTTGAGAATAGCTTGGTTGTTAAGAGCACTGACTGGGGAGACACGAGGATATTTGAAATGAAGGGCTCAGAATGTAGTTGGATTTGGAAGTGGAGGACTGAATTCTAGACTTAAAATGAACAAGCTTAGGAGAGCGTAAGTTCCCTAGGGCCTGAACTAGGCTGTGGCTATAGGGCTGACATTAAGGGATGGCCTGGACTTGACATAGGGGTCACCAATGAGGCTATATAATTGGGAACTCTCATATCTCCTCAATTAATCACTTGTTAAAATTTATTGAGGAGGGCCACATTCTGTTCAAGAATCTCCACAAATCTAAAACAAGCTTTCTAGCAGGTTTTATTTCCAAGCCCTTCAGGCATGAAAATTATATTCTTCTTCTGTTAATTCAGCAACTCAAATCAGAGGAGTGACTCCTTGGGAGTCTCGGGGTCAGGGAATATTACTAAAAATATATTTCATTTCTGGCCTGAGGGACCCTTAGCATTAACATGAATTACTTAGTGTTTCATTTGTAGGAAAAAACACATTTTACATTGCGGAAACACAGCTGCAAGGCATTTGTATCAAATAATTCCTAGGCATGAGAGAAAATGTATGAAAAGTACCTTCATTAAAAGGTAAGGGTTACTTTATTAGTGTTCACTCTTGGTAATCATCGGTTCATGGCAAAACTGGGAAGAAAAAAAATGATGCAAGAAAAAATAATATGTTAGTGGCTGTTATGTTTAGGTTTTATATTACGTTTTGTGTTTTTACAATGCTGTACACATGCTACCCATCCCTAACTATGCTTACATAATATTAGGTTATAAAAGAAAGATCTTACATAATTATTAGCCAGATCATATAGTCTTATGTTTACCATGGAAAGATCTATATTCTACCCCTAAAGCTATGAAATGCTATTTTATGCCTGGAAGGAAGCAAGTAATGAACAGGCTATAAATAAATTTTAATTTCTTTAGAGTTCATAAGCAATTTGACAATTTGTTGGATGTCCTCAAATCCCTTTGATGACAAAAACAATCAGATTAAGGCAACTCCACCCACATAAAAGACATATGTTTCCTCTCTAAAACAACACTTAAATTTTGTTCTAGTATGTTTAACACAGATATAAATGATCCTGTGTCTTAATTTCAGTATATCTGCATTTCAAGCTTTTGCTTTATTAACTGCATCTATCAGAACTTTAAGATTTCTTTGAGTTTGGTTTTATTTTACTGTTTGGACTTACATTTGAAAACACTAAATCAATATGTATTTTGATTTTCCTTTCTACTATATGTACTTTATTGTGTAACATAACATTGACTTATTACTTTAAAAGCTTGGTAAAATAACCAAGAGTGATATCAATGTTTAACTAAGCAATTCTTAGGGAAAGATCCTGAGAATAAGTTACTTCAGTAAATCCTAAAATAGCGTTCCCTGAATATAATCAACTAGATTGTTAATGCTATGACCCAGGGAATCTAGCCATGTCTAATAATAATCTAAAATTGTGAACATATTCAGATAAGAGAAGATAATTCATTGTCAAACGACCTACATTGCAAGAAATGCTCAAGGAAGTTCTCAGGGGGATGGGAAATGGTATCATATGGAAGCTCAGAAATTGAGGGAAAAAATGAAGAGAATCTGAAATCACAAATATAAAAGATTATATCTATTCTTATTTATTAAAATAAATTACTGTTTTTAAAAATTATACCATTGTGTTATAGGGTTTAATTTTGTAGGTGTAATAATGATGACTACAGTATAAAGGATGGAGAGTTGCAATAAACAGGCCTATGCAGGTACAAGCTTTCTACATTTTATATTAAATGTTAACTCTAAGCACACTGTAAAATATTTACTGTGTATATTTAGAGGTATAGCTAAAAGGTCAATAGATATATTATAATGGAATTCAAAAAAAATTCAAGTAATCCAAAAGAAGGTGATAAAGGAGGAACAAAGGTAAACAAAACAGAGGGGAAAAGCAAAAATCAAAAGATGAGATTTAAATCCACCATATCAACAATTACAATAAATGTTAATGAACTAATGCTCCAATTAAAAATTAGAGATAATCATAAAGGATTAACAAAAAAGGCCTAAATATATGATCTCTACAAGAATGAACTTTAAAATACAAAGACAAATAGGTTGAAAGTAAATGAATTGGAAAGATATACTATACAAAGTGTAAGTATAAGAAAGCTGGGGGACCTCTTAATATCAGATAAAAAAAGACTTCAAGACAGAATACAACCAGAGATAAAAAAAGGAACATTTCATGATAAAAGTTCAACTCATAAGAAAGAAAAACAACCACAAATGTATATATCTAATAATAGAGTTTCAAAATATATGAAGCAAAAATTGACAGAATTAAAGGGAGAAATAGACAATTTCATTATCATAGTTAGAGATATCAACACTCTTTTCTCAGCATTTGATAGAAGTGTGGGCAAAATTCGGTAAAGACATAAATGATATGAACGGCACTATTAACCTCCTGGGCTTAAATAATACTACGGAATACATATTATTTTCAAGTGTACATGGTATGTTTACCACTAAAGGAAACAAATCATATACACTATGTTTTGTGATGACAATAGAATTAAAGAAGAAATCAATAACTGTAACATATCTAAGAATTTACTGGAGGGAGACCAGAGGATATTTGAAGACAAGCTGCTGCAGGATGGACTGAAAAGATAGCAGTGTTGAAACTTATGTCCAAATACAGTCACATGGAATTATCATTTATCAAAATAATATGACAAAATAATTATTATAAAATGCCCAAACTCCAAGTTTGGGGTAATAATCAAAGCCTGCAAAGGATATCTAAGTGTGAAGATTCCCAAGTTAAATGTGGAAAGAAGAAGAATAAACTATCAAATAGATTAATTATCACTTAGGCTAAAAGTGCACATTTCTAGGAAAGGTTGACAGTGGGCATTTCATTCAGAAACCCTTGTGGAGTGTCTATATTGAGAAAAAGGAGCTTCACAACTCTGGTTCCTATTCAATTTGAGGAACTCACAGTGCATCAATTCAACTCTTTGTATTTTAGTTTCCTGTTTATTCTTATCAACCTTGGCCATGGGTTCTTAGAAGGATTAATGAATTGACAGTCTGAAACCATTTGGAGATATTTGAGAAGATGGTGTTCATTGAAGTTTTATGTCCTTAGAGTATAAGTACTACCGGATGGCCAGTAGTTATATTGCATGTTTTTCTTTTAGAGCAGAAGTTTGTGAATACGATTCTTATCTGACCACAGTCTCTTCTTTCTGGTGGTGCATAAAACTAAAATTTACAGAGAGAAGTCTAAGAAAGGGAAATTCTAGAGATTACAGGCACCAACTTTAATCATCTCCTGGCGGACAGGCTGTGAGTGATACTTTCAGAGCTGGGTAAGTAAGTGGTAGTTAAATTCTCATGTCTTGAATGAGCTCCCCCATTAACTTCCCCAAGCAACCTTGTTAGCCAGTTTTTGACTAAAGGCTATAGATTATAGAATTCTGATCCAATAAATGATGGCATTGTTAGAGGCACACAGTGCTGTGCACAGAAATAAAGCAAAGCTTTCATTTCTTCTTTAGAAAACATTTAATGTTAAAAAATGTAAAATATACATTCCTTAATTTACAACCATATTTGGGTGACATATATTCATGACAGATTCAAGCAAGGTAACTGTGTAATATTTTGTTTTGTCTAAAAACCTGTAATCAGAATTATCTGACTAGATCAAATCTTTTTATTCTGTTTTTATAGTACCATGTTCCTTGAATTTGTTGCCATTTTACAGTTGTTTTTGTGATTTGAATAATGCACTTCTCCTCTACTAGACTTTAAGTTACAAGGGTAGAGACCACGTTTGTTTTGGTAACAATGATATTTCCAGCATTTAGCATAGTGACTGGCACAAAGTGTGAATTGAGTAAATATTTTTAATAGAAAAAATAAATGATCAAGTTATATTCTTTTAGCCCCATCCATATTTCCTCATCTATACGATGTGGATAATAAAACACCATTAGCAAGGGGCTGGCCCCGTGGCCGAGTGGTTAAGTTCGCGCACTCTGCTGCAGGCGGCCCAGTGTTTCGTTAGTTCGAATCCTGGGCGTGGACATGGCACTGCTCATCAGACCACGCTAAGGCAGTGTCCCACATGCCACAACTAGAGGAACCCACAGCGAAGAATACACAACTATGTACCGGGGGGCTTTGGGGAGAAAAAGGAAAAAAATAAAATCTTAAAAAACAACAACAACAACAAAAAACACCATTAGCAAATGTTAAAAAGATTAAATTATGTAACTTACATTAACATTCTTTATAAACAGCAACTTGCTCTGCAAATCTTATGTCATTTTATTAATTTTATATCCTTAGCCCCCTTACCTCTCCCAGTCTTTACCAAGAGTTATCGTTCCATTCCTTTTTCTACCTGCTCTCTTCTTCCTTGCTATATCCCCCTGTCTGTATCCTCATCTTCTCCCTTTGGGTTCATTACCTCCCACTTAGGTCCTCCTTCCCTGAAACAGATGATGATTATGGCAATGGTGATGATGATGATGACAACCACCAGCACCATGGCAAAGAACAGGGGATTGTGTGGTATTTCATCAGCATAAAAATGGTGGAAGTACTAGAAATGAAAGTACACAAGGTCATGGTGCCCAAATCTGTAGGACTGTATCTTTTTTTTTTTGTCCTCGGAAGTTTCTCTACATCCTATGATTTTATTTAATACCTACAGCTTTCTCTTTAAGAGAAAAAATAAAGAAAGAAAGAAAAGTGTAATAATGTTGTTGTCCCACCATTTCAGTACATCAGAAACAGAAGGCTCTTTTATAGCCATGTCTTTCTTCCTCTCAACTACGTGCTATTTTGCAAGACTTAAGTTTAACCAAGTTAGGGATCAACTCACTCACTCAAATCCAAACAGTAAGTCCTTGCAGACTGTCTTTGGGTTCAGTGTTATGGATGTTTCCTCAATCTTCCCATAACTGTAGATAGTTGGATGGTGAAGCAAATCCTCATTGATCCAATACATAAGTTCTGTCCATTGGTTTATTGCCATTTTTCTGGGGTTTAAATCAGGCTTAAGCACAAGTTAAAAGATTTATAAAGGCGAAGACTATGTCGAGTTGTTTTATCCTGTGTACACTAAGTCACCTATTGCTGCATAACAAACTGCTTCCAAATTAGTGACTTAAAGCCCCAGCCATCGTTTTCACCCAAGAATTCAGATAAGTTCAGTTGAGTAGCTCTTCTTCACCATGTGGCATTAGCTGGGGTCATTCCCTTGGCTGTATTCAGCTGATGGATCAGTTGGAAGCTGCACTCAATTGTAGTGCTGAAACAGCTGAGGCTTGAATGTCCAAAATGGTTTCACTGACGTATCCGGTTGCTCAATTGAGATGACTGGAACAGTTAGGCGATGGATGGGCATGTCTCTCTCTTTCTGTGATTTTTCCAATAGTGTGGCTGGATCTTTACATGGTAGTTCAGGGCTCTAAGAAGGAGGAAGCAGATATTCTGTTAAGGTCCAGCCTCAGAAGTTACACAGCCTCGCTTTCACCAGTAGAGTCAAGCAGCAAAGAGACTTTACTTCTTGACGGGAAAGTGGTAAGGCCTCCTTGCAAAAGAACATGTGGCATGGAAGATATAGTTGTGATCATTTTTGGAAAAAAAATCTACCATACTTGGGTACATTTCCTATTGGGTAGTTTTCTTTGAATAACTTTGGGATCAGCATCTTCAAGAAGAAAGGAATATTAGAAGTTGCCTACCTAACATGTTATCCAATCAATAATCCTATGTATAACATCCTTGGCAGATTGTTAACTTTTCTGTGCCCAAACACTTACTGTGACAGGGAACGCAGCATTTCAAGGAGCAGCTCATATTTGGACTACTCTAATTTCTTGCAGTTTTCTTAATCAGGATTTAAAGATTTAAAAATTGCATTTGGTTGATAAGTCTCTCAGATACCTTTTAATCAATAACAGAAATCTTTTCTACCCTTTTTATTACCTGTAATTTATTTATTAAAGACACTGGCTTATTATTCTTATAGAATTCCCCCCATTCTGGACTTGGCTTATTGCTTCCTTGGGCTGCTGTTTAGCATGTTCCTCTATCTTCTGTATTTCCTGTAAAATGGTAATTGATGCCTAATTGAATTCAATTTTCTTGGCATGAATACATCATAGGTGGGGCCTATACTTTTGATCAAATCACGTCAGGAGGCACCTTTGCTTATCAACTATTTGGTTACCCAGTTTGTATAGCAAGAGAAAAATAAATGCTTGATTTTTTTCCCTTTTATTTTCCAGTTTTTAGAATAATAATTTGGTGCCCTAGCAAGCTTTAAAGGTGACCGATGAATTTTGTTTTGTTTTGAACTCCTACATTTTAATGTACTTGCTTCAATCCATTGGAGTCATTATTCTTCTGATGCACAAATGCCCATCTTTGGCCTGTAGCCGCCCTTTCAAAGTTGTCTCCTGAGTCCTCCTGACACAACACAGTGGTCTTTGATCACTTCCACATTCCCCAGCATGATAAAATGTTCCAGGCTAATCTTGTATATTTCTTGTTATGATTTGGCATCAGCCATTTCTCCAAGAAGGCTTGGTTCCTTTTAGTAAGAATGGATCTTTAGAGATTTCAATCTGGGCTCAGTGATTCTTGCTACTGTGTTATTACTTCCAGGAATTTTTCCATGGATAGAGCTAGGAATTAAATATTTTTTAAAAGGACAAATGCATCATGAATTTATACTGGTATTAACAATTCAAATTTAAGATTAAGGATTTTTCCTTAACTCATTTGATATCAGTGTTTGTATCTGTTTTCACTTACTCTGAAATAATTCATAGAGACATTCCCATAACTATTTATGGGTAAAGTAAATAAGTAATTAAGTTAATGAATTACATGAGAACC